GGAGGTAGGGCTCAGCTGTTAAGAGCACCAGTTGTTCTTCCAAGGGACTGGAGTTCAGGTTCAGTCCCCACATGGTGGTTCACCACCATCTGAAATTCCACTTCTGATGCCCTCTTCTGATATCCTTGGGCACTGCATCCATGTGGTGTACAGACACACATGCAGATAAAACACTGATATATATATATATATATATATATATATATATATATATATATACTTTTTAAAAAGAACCTAAATGTAAAAAGCAGTGTTTACTTTCTTCCCTAGACTTGTGTCTACCTGAGACCATCATTTGAAGATTCCCCTGAGCTAAGGTATTGTCATCTCTTTCAGAGACTCCTTCTTGGCACAAGATCAAGACAGCATTTGCCTTTGTATGGGAAATGACCTACATACACATCAGGAAATACAGATTCTGACCAATCGTCAGCTTTCTCTTCTCTGGCTGGGTGAGTTCTTTTCCCGAGCTGTCAGGTGCATTCTCCCAAGACCACAGACACCTGTGAAGTCTCTATGGCAAGTGCCAGCTGCCTTCCACATGCAGACGTGCCCAGCTTTCTAGTTAGCCATGAGGTCTATTTGCTTATTTGTTGAGACAAGTTCTTACTCTGTAGCTAAGACTGGCCTGCAACTACTACATCAACTAGCCTGGCCTTGAACTAACAGAGCCCTGCCTGCTTCTGCCTTCAACAAGCTAGAATTAAGGGTGTGTATTGCTATGCCCAGGCCTCCATTTTAGCTGGAAAGTTCTTGCTATGTTCCCCAGATTGGCACTGAACTCATGATTCCCAAGTAGCTGAGATAATAGGCCCACACAAATCTCACCTGTCTTGGTTTTGTGTGTTTAATAACCTAACTTAATATTAATAATAATAACTTAACCTTTTCTGCTTAAGTTAACCAAGATGGACATATTTCTGGCAGTTAAGAGCTTCTGAGTGGATTTCATGTGTCCCTGTTACCTTTTTTTGTCTTTGTATCTTTCCAGTAGTGTTCCTTTTCTTTCTTTCTTTCTTTCTTTTTTTGTTTTTGTTTGCTTGTTTTCAAGACAAGATCTCACTATGTAGCTCTGGCCATCCTGGAGCTCACTATGTAAACCAAGCTGGCCTCGAACTCACAGAGATCCACTTGTCTCTGTCACTTGAATGCTGGGATTAAAGGTGTACACCACTATGCCCAGCTAGATCTGTTTTTCTTATAAAAGGATTCTGAAAGTATTATCATCATCATTATTATTTTGGCTCTTGTTTCAATGACCTAATTCATTCAGCAAGCAATGAATATTTGTATGCTGGCTGGAATTGTAGGGGAAAATAGGACCAGCTCCTTGTTTTTTTGTGTTTTTTCTTACTCTAGGACAGATGTACCAGCAAGTGCATCCTAAGGCACGATGAGATGGGTTTAAAGAGGCTGGGTGGACCCAACTGCAGAGGCAAGTTAGTAAGACATCAGAAAATGTTCTGTAGCAGAGATGACTATTTGGAGCTGGACTTAGAAAGGTAAGAAGGGCCAGGTGCAGTGGTGCAAAATTTTAATTCCAGCACTCAGGAGGCAGAGGCAGGTGGATCTCTGTGAGTTCAAGGCCAACATGGTCTACTTGGAGAGTTCTAAGCTAGTCAGGGCTATATAGTGAGACTATGAAAAAAAAGTAATAAAGAAAGAAGAGGAGAGTAAGGAACAGGGGCCATACAAGTGGACAGGGAAGGCAAATTATAACAGAAAGAGAAGTGCGCTGAGGGCCATGATGGGAAACGAAATGGCTTTCAGGAAAAGGCAAGGATAGATAGGGTAAGGCTAAAGTAGGAAGTCCAGGGTAATCAGATATGAGCATGGGAAGAGCCTTGATGAAAGACTTTAGACTTTGCTCTCTAAGGTTATAGGGAGAGTGACATCATCAGATCTGTATTTCGCTTATGTGAGTGTGGTCACAGGTGAGGGGCAGGTGTGATGTCGGATAGCTGCAGTAGTTCAGGGTGGAGATGGCAAGGCTATGAACTGAAGCAAAGGGCGGGAATAAAGACAAAAGAGGTTTGACAGGCTTACGAATCCTATTCAAAGCCGGGTGGTGGTGGCGCACGCCTTTAATCCCAGCACTTGGGAAGCAGAAGCAGGTGGATCTCTATGAGTTTGAGGCCAGCCTGGTCTACAAAGTTGAGTTCCAGGATAGGCTCCAAAGCTACACAAAGAAACTTTGTCTCAAATCACCCCTCCAAAAACATTGAAGCCAGAGTGCTCAGCCTAAGTGGCATTGCTTATTTGTGCTGACTGTAAGTGCTGGAGGTTGGGTTTGAAACCAAGGGGATCAGCATTCTTCCTCACTACGTTGTAGCTTCCCCAGTGATTGGATTACCACTGTCAGGCAATGGAACGTCAGGTCATCTCCCCGGGAAGCACTTAGTAAGAACTGTGTGGTGGTGCTGCCTGTAATCCCAGGTTAGGAGTGAAGGGAGGGTGGTCAGGAGTTTAAAGTCACCCTTAAATAGTAATGGATTTGAGTCTAGCCTGACCTGTATGAGACCTTGTCTCAAGCAAGCAAACAAACAAAACAACAAAACTGAAAGCAGAGGCGAAGGATGAGAAAGCAGCTGCAGCACATTTGGTAGATTTAGGCCCAGAGCTGCTTCTGCTCCCAAAAGCACACAGTCAAGCCCCTGTACACTGTTTTAAGCCACAGGCATGGCATATTGGGCTCATTTTTTGGAACTATTTAGCTTTTAAAAATTTTGAGATTTACAGTAAAATCTAGGTTTCTATGTTTTCTTAGAAAACCGAGACTATCTAGCCACAATAGACCTATGCAGCAAACATATATACCTGTCTGACTTCTTTACCTGGGGTCTGTGGGCCTTTATCAGCCAGAGTGCTCCTGGCCTGCTTGAGGTCCCTGCCTGCCTCTGCAGGCTCCGTGTTTGCACCTGTTGTTCCTCTATTAATGGAACCTCTCAGCTTGCATTAGATGCTAGTCTGTGCTTTAATTGGTGTTGGGCCCAGGCCTCCCTTGCTGCCTAAACATCCTTTTGAGTTTAGGGGCATGTGATACATAATAGATGTTTTGTTTGCTTTCTTCCTCAGGCCATGAGAATTAAAAAACAAAATAAAATAAAACCCTGAACACTTCAGTACTTAGCCTGAGCCCCCAGGGAGGGTTGTGTACAGTCGCTGCAGGACAAAGGTGAGCGGTCATAGTTCTTGAGATCAGTACTGAGCAAATGCACATAGGCCAGATATGAGGTGCACTCCATCAGTGCCAGCCCTCAGGGACAGAGGCAGGTAGTTTGAGATCAGCCTGGCCTCCATAGTCAATTTCAGGTCAGTCAGGAGTACACAGTGAGACTCTGTCTGGAAAAAAAAAATTCTTTTAATTACAATATAGCAATAGGCATAGTGTTCCATGTCTGTTATCCCCTCAGACTTTAGGAGTCTGGGGCAGGAGAATCACTGTGAGTTCAAGAACAGCCTAGTCTATCTAGGGAGACCCTATCTTAAGATACCAAACAAACCTACAAACAAACAAAAAACCCCAAACCTGCAGTCTATCTAGACGATAGAAAATGACGAAAGTAAGGCGTTGGTATGCAGATTTTGGTGTTTTTGTTGTTGTTGTTGTTGTCTGTTTCTTTAATTTGTTTTGTGAAGAATTGTACGCTTAGATTCTGAGCTGTAATCTGTAGCCACTTCACAAGGAAGTCTTCAGGGAAAGCATGTGGGTGGATGCATACAGTTGTGTGTGCCACAGTTCAGGTAGCCCAGCAGTTTCCTTAGAGATCCAATTTCACTACATTTTTAGAAAGTTTTGCCTTTACTTAAGGTTGATAACAAATTCCTGTACCTTTGAGTGAAAGTGTAAGAGCCAGGCTGGCAGACAAATATTTTGTCAAATTAGATACTTTAGTATCAAGGCTTCTTTTGCTGCTGCTGCTGCTGCTGCT